CCAGGACACCCTCTGTCTCTGCCTCTGTCTGAAATATCCTGTCTAGCGACAGGGCGGCACTGAACCACCACCAGGCATACAAGAAAATTTATCTTTTAGTACAGATCCGTAGAAATCGGTGTGGTGACCTGATAGCAACATGGGCAGAATCTTAGCATTGCCACAAAACAGAGCCTGATTGATGTCTTGCCTCAAACTAAACGTTTCTCCGTTAAACTTGCCATATACCCCAGACCCTGAATTAGACGCCGGCGTCTAATTAGTCCGTGAAGCATGACAGCACTCATATGTGCGTCCTGAACCTCACGAATCAAGTTCCAGCAGGGATCTGCAGAGTGGAATAAACGTCATGGTGGAATAAACTAAAACAAAAGCAATTTGTTTACCCAAAGTGTTTGCTTCATGTTCTGAGCAGCCCCAGGCCGCTGTGCTCTATACAGCCACGCCCACCTTCTCCGGGGACTGAAGAAGGAGCAAAACTGATCTGGTGATTCAGAAATCTGGGAAAACAGCAGGCCCCTTGGGGCAACAGTGACAACGCCGGGCACTGCTGGGGCAAGAAAGCAGACAGCAGTAGAGAGGTGTTGAGGGGAAGACGCCCCGTGCCCAGCTGTGCGTATGGGCATTCCTCTGAGTAAAGCATCGTCCAAACACATTCATAATCCACCCAGTTTCGAACCACTTCCACCTGAGCCTATCCCGGCAAGCCACAGGCACAAGACAGGGTACATCTCGGACAGGACACCAGCCCACCGCAGGGCAGACAGACACACATACTCACACCAGGGCCCGTTCTCTCAGGGACTGTGGGAGGAAACTGGAGCACCTGGAAGAAACCCATGTGAACACGGGTTGAACGTACAAACTCCACACAGACAGCACCCCAGGGGCTGGCATTGAACCCAGGGCCACGGCGCTGGGAGGCAGTTATTCTGACCCCCTCACCACCATGCCTCTCTATAGTAATAATAACAATTGGACAGTGGTGCCACAGACACACTGTAGACGTTTTATCACTGAACGGTTTCACACACAGGGGAGGGGGGGCTGGCCTGGGCTCTAGAGCCCTTGACAAGCCTTTGTTTCTTTCTGCCGTCCATCTGCTTCAAGCCGCAAATAACCTTTCGCTGGCGCACAATTCATCCATCAAAGGATCATAAATATACAATTCCTTATTTTATGTCCTCCAAAGTCACGACACTGCACGGAATGAAATCAACGGAGTCCGACACAATGCCTCATTTTTCCGCTCAAACACTGATCCCAGAGAGCAGAAGGAAACAAACAAAAATCAATAAAAAATCATCATCTTAAAGGATAAATGTCCTCTCTCCTGTGAGACGCGACGCTACGAACAATACCGAGCGGAAAGCAGAACTGAATATCGAGAGGTCTGGGTCACATCTTCAGCAGAGACAAATAATAATGTTCCCCAGGATGGACCCAGACGCCCCAGTGTTTACTAGCTCAGGTTCCCTGCTCATGTCAGAGAGACGGGGCTGAAGCAGAACTACTGAAATACTATCCCAGGCCTACGTACCTGTTCCCACGCCCAGTGCAGGCCTTGGGTACGGCCTACTTCTAATTATGTGTATTAATCTTCCCGGATGTAGTAGAGCCAGTCAATCCACATACAGACCCACCTCTTCACTTCCTTGGAGTTCTGAAGTAGTATCAAATGCTCTGAGACAGATACTACAGCCTGTCAGATCACAATTCTGTCTTGAAACCCAGAAGGACACTGGCACAGGGGCACAAGGGCATGGGGGGCACAGTGGTCAGCTGGACAACAGGGTCGGGAGCCTTTAGCACCTACAACTGGAGAAACTTCTTTTCACACAGTTGGGAAAGCCTGGATCAAACTCCTCAGCCATGTTGCCGAGGGTGACTCATTAAGAAAAGGCTCGTTTCAGAGGTTAGGCTTGACGATGGAAGGCTGGCTCTGCGGGGGGCTGTCTGACCCCAGTGGACAGACAGGTCATTCAGTCAGGCTCAGCTCATTCACCAGCTACAGCCGGCCGAGCGGACAGGGAGTGTCCGCGCACCTAGTGACCAGCTTTAACATTTCTCTTCAAGCTGCACTGGAAACAACCAGACCAGATTTCTCCTTCTGTTGTTTTCATGGGATTAATATGGGATTTGGAAAATTGTATTCAAGATTAATCAAAGACATTTGGGATTGGACTTTAACCTGACTGTTGGTTGGTTGCTTCTGAAAAAATAAGATTTTGGTTTTAGTAAATAATGTGTCAGGACCTGTCCAACATTTGCTGGATGCTGTAAAGGGATTATCAGCACAACTGAGCCACTCTTTACTTCTTTCACATTCAAACATGTTTCAATAGCATTTTTGTACCGACCTCACTGTCTACACTGGCCTAACCTGCAGGAGTCTGCCAGCACAGCCTCCTCTGTCCAGGCTGGGTGATGGTTTAAGAATTGAGAATCCCGGCCAGATGCTGGCTGCTGGAAGCTGAAAGGCAGCCTCCCTGTGCTGGCAAGTGCTGCAGCCCTCTCCTCAGACTGTCGCGTGTCTTACAATAGAACAGCAGGAGACTGTTTCCTCTCTTCTTCCTTTTTCCTTAATATGTGAGCAAACTCAGCTCAACTGCACTAGGAATTCCCCCACAAAAAGTATCCCCAGGGTGCCAGAGAGGCTGAAGATGAGGCCTGCTCCGCTCTGCCTGCTGCACCAGCTCCCCCCTCTGCCTGCTGCA